ATACATTAATCACAACGTCTGGCTTATTAAATGAATGGTTTTTTTTTGCTCCTAATGTTGAAGTTTTCACTCACTAGAATAATGTACAACTTGACACTATATTTATTGCTTCATGAAGTAATAATTAAAAAAGTGCTAATCCCCTGTGTGATGTAATTGTTGACATGGTTTACAAAATGTCCTTTTCTGGGATTTTACAGTAATTTATCCATTAAAATATGAATTAGTAGTACTCATTAAAACAGAATAAGTGTTACTTTACCCTGATAAGCTCTTTAATAAAAAATAATTGAGCAACCATCATGAAATTAAACAACTCTTTTAAAACGCATTAAATGGAAGTTAAAACATCAGTTTCAATTAGAAACACAATTGGTAATTGGTATATATAAACAACATAATTTCGTTCAATTTCTCATTTCAATATTGTCTTTTCACTATAACAAAAATAACTTTTAGTGATAATAAATATATACATATTAACAAAAAGTGCTAAATATTTTACCGCCATTAATTAAACGTCAATCGATCGATTAAAAAAAAATTAAGAAAAATATATGACCAAGTCATATTAGTAGACAGTAGCTAGTACCCTACCGCCGCCTCATCCACCATCCCTGGCAATATCAAACTGTTTTTGGATTTTTGCTTACAAAAAGAAAACTGTTATTCGATCTGCTTTTTTTTTTTTTAGACTTTCGAAATCAATTTTTCAAATATTTCAAAACGAGCTGCAAGTGAAGGACCGATTCTTTTGCGCTAATGCTCCGAGAGCTTCTCGTATAATATGTAGAAAGGAATAATTATGCCTTCCGAGAGATTTGAAAATCTTACTTCAAAAACTTTTAACTTAAAAATGAACTAACTATATTTTCTTTTTGCAAAAGCAACTCATTTTTTTAAATAAAAAATTGAATTTTGTGCGTAATCTGTTTAATAAAACCCAACAATTAAGGAAAATATTTTTAAATAAAACTTTCTAAAACTAAAGGAGATCTAAATCGAGTTGTGCCCCGGGACAGATATAAAATTAAATGTTAGGGTGTATCTTAATTAGAGAATTATCCACACCTTCATCGCTCACTCGACTGGGGATTAATGAGGATTCGAATGTCGCTGTATCTCCCTCAAAATAAAAATAAGAGAAAAGACATAAAGACACAATCAAAGTTGTCCCGTATTTGCATAAAGATACTTTAACTTTCAAAGTGTCCTATCACCCCACAAAACTATTTAATATCGTTGTAAATGGACCATTTTGACCCATTCCTCCGTCTGGGTTGTTACCACGCACATGAGGCGCGTCATTCCGTGTTTTCACTGCCATGGACCAATTTAAAAGTGCCACGTGTCATTTTCTTTCTTTATTATTAATTATATAATCAATTTATGTCATCTTCCCCAATTTTAAACCCAAAATAGCCCTAATTTTTTGATTTCATGGTTTTTTCCATAGCAAGATCAACATGTAACAACGAAAAACTATAATATCCTAACAATATCTTAACAATGGCAACAATAGGAGGTCGATTCCAACACTTTACAAGAAGATTTTAATAATCCCTAAAATCATATTAATCGAAAAAAGAGAAGATTTTTATCATATGATGTAGAGCCCTAACATGTTAGACCTTCAATCTCCAAGAATCTTCTCCAAGACACATAAACAACAAGATTATCAACAACAACACGACGAGAAAACTTTTCTATTTCTTTAGATTTTAGGGAAAGTTGAGAAATAAGAAAAGAAAAGAAGAAACGACTTTCTTCAAAGAACAGGGTCGGGTCGGGTCGGGTCGGATCGGGTCTTTTCTCATCATAGGGAGTGAGCAACACGCGCCACTAAATAGACGAGGGAATGGGTCAAAATGGCCCATTTACAAAGATATTAAATAGTTCTGTGGGGTGATAAGACACTTTAAAAGTTAAGGTGTCTTTATGAAAATACGGGACAACTTTGATGGTGTATTTATGTCTTTACTCTAAAAATAAATTCTTTTGGGGTCTCCATTTTTTTTAATGAAGAAAATAATAGTAAAAATTATAAGATTCAATGTGGAGATGGGGTCAAGACATGTCAAAATAGTAGGGGAGAAAGTGTAATATAATGGGATTGGGTGTCATCCACAAATCATAAAGTTATGATTTATTAAAGGGGAAATACATCATTACCCCATTCAACTATAACACTTTTTCTAAAAAGACACTAAAACTTTGAAATGGTCCTAATACCCCCTTATTCTTGTTCAAAGTGGATTTATTACCCCCTTATGATCCTATGTGGCACATGGAGTGTAATTCACTCACCACTAGCGAGTGAGGCAAAGTAAAAGAAATATTATTTATTTATTTTAATATTTATTCAATTAAAATATTATTTCCTTTTACTTTATTGGTTTTATGTTTTTTTTTTAAAATTTTGTACCGTCCTTCATCTACTCTTACCCAGAAGAGTTCTCGGACTCATTTTTAGTTGAGGGAGATCTAATAAATGAGATTATTAACAGAGAAACAGATGAAAGCGGAGTGAGGTTGCGGAGGAAGGTCGGAAAGGGCCGGTGAGAGAAGCATCGAAGATTTGACGACGACGGAGAGAGAATCGTCAGGGTCACGTTCAAACCCAGTAAAAAATACCCTATCTGAGTTAGAGAGAATTTCAGTCTTTGTAGATACAACAAATGTTGATTTTGAGCAAAAATTAAAGGCGAAGTACACAAAAATGATTGAACGATCGAAGAAGAAGCGCTGGAGATTTGATAGTATTTTTTATTTTTCAATTGTATTTTTGATTTGCTAGAGAAAATGGATGAGATGGTGTTAAAGTGTGGTGGGTGGTGGCTATGGTGGAGAATCGTCGGCAGCGTGAAAGAAGAGGTCACCAGCGGCAGTTGAACATTGAAGAAGAAGAAGAATAGAGATTTTTTATTTTTTTTAGAAAACAAAATAGAATAAGAAATAACATTAACATATATGAAAATTAAAATTAAAATTAAAATATAAAAATAAAATAATTGACACGTGGTAAGTATCAGTTGGTGCGTGTATTCACTTTCCTTCTTAAACTTGTGGTTGACCGAAAAATGGGACACTTTTACCACTTTTAAATTGTTTAAGGGGTTACTAGGACCTTTACAAAGTTCAAGTGTCTTTTTAAAAAAAGTGTTATAGTTGAATGGGGTAATGATGTATTTTCTCTTTATTAAATTAAAAGAAATATAAAGGTATCATGTGGAGCTGATGTGTAAAATAAATTGAATAACTTGGCTGCTGCGTAGATGCCAACATGTATCAGATCACTCTTTTTCTCTTTTATTTCTTAATTCTCATTGACCAGACCCTACCCTAACCCTAACCCTACTTTCTTCTTTTACCTTTTTCTTATGCTGTTAATAATTTCTTCTTTTTCCCTATCCATCCGTGTTTCATTGAAGTCCCGACTAAATTTGAGTTGCTCACGGTAGAATCCATTCGGGGGTGACATAAATGACATTCCAACAACGTTTTCATTATACTTAGGGCTCAAACTTTAAACCTCTAATTAAGGGTGAAATAGTTTCACCACTGCTCCATAACTTATGTGGTATTAATAATTCATTATTCTCATCCGTTCAATTTTATATTGTCAGTCACTTTCCTACATAAGTGTAACGTGTTGAACTGATTTTACAAATAACTAATTACTAATTTAGATAATGAAATGATAATAAATAATAGTATGCTTGATTGAAAAAAATTGAGACAAAATAATTAGTGATCTTTATGTTTCAATTCATGTGATTTACATTTTTAAAATTTATCAAAAAGCACGAATTTTTTGTATATTTTTTAAAAAAAAATTATGTGTAATGAAATGATTTATGGTACAAATATATATGATTTGGATATTATAAGAGTATATAGTAAAATCACTATTGTATAAATTAACAAGGTGGCCGGGGCATTTAAAGTTAGGTTGGGTTGATTTATAAGTAGTCCCACAGCTCAAAGATGCTTATATATATATAGAAGAAATTAAAGGTAGAGATTCCTAGTTACCTTCTTTATATTGTATACTTTAGAACGTGCATACATATATATGATTTGTCTTTATAATTTAATAAAGTGGCCCAATAATATAATCACACGAGGCAATCCAGTCATACATACACAGATCCCACGGACCCATCAAAATTTCTCAACTAGGCCAAAAAAAGAAGAAGGCATTTTTGAAGATGCAAAAAGTGAAAAAGAGACCAATATATACTACTTTTCTAATTAGAGAAAACATTTTTCAATTCTTGTGTGTCTGGTCAAAATATTTTTTACAGATTTTTTTATTTATTTAAAATGAGAAAAAATGACTTCTCTCATCGAAATAGGAAAAATAAGTTTCATAATTAAGTCACGGTAAATATTTAAATTTGTAGGACTTTACAAAATGAGTTATACCTAGCTTATGATTATATAAGGGTATTATATTCTCTTTAAAAGACAACTGAAAATTCCATAAATTCATGGGATATTTATAAAGAGATTAAGATGTGATCTCCTATGTTCGAGAAATAATCAAGGAGAGGAACAAGATAGTAACTACACTATTTATTGATTACAATTTATTTTCAATCACTTTAAAATTTGTTGTGACATATCAAGTTCATTGACTTTGCCCACTATCAACCCAACTCATGGCCAGGCCACCCTTGGGGGCCTTATTCTGTAATATTTTACTAGATTACAGATAAAAAAAAATTTGGGACAATATTTGTTTCCTTACTTATTAAGTATCATAAATAAGTAAAGAAAATTATGTATTTTCTATTAAAACTATTTCTTTTCTTAAAAAGACATTCTCTATCGTCCAAACACACATACCAACCAATTAATGGATTCTTTCTCATACTTTTTATTTTGTACCTTTGTTTTTCTCATAGATTTTGTCGGGCAATCGTGGCAGTGTTGTTGTTAAAATATGTAGCATTATACTATATACTAATTAACTTTATAACTTTTGGTTTGCTCCAATGGGAAGTATTCCAATAGCTTTGGTGCGTATAATTAACCAAAAAAATGACCTAAATCTTTCTCTGTTATTCGTGATTTAATTAGAGATTCCAATAGTGAAACAAAAGCCCATATTATACACTTTGTGGCCACCTTTTTTACCTACTTTAGCCTAATTTGTTCTCTCCATCTGTTGGGTTATAACTGCAACCTTAAAAAGGAAGTATCGAGTATGTACCAACTTCTATTTGTGGTTCTCATAAAAAAAATATTGGTGATGTATATATTATAGTTACAATTGAAGTTTTGATTGTCACCAAAAATGACATAGTTGAGTCCAATTTTTAGATGACAATTGACATGGATGAACCATTTATGATAGTTCGACGATATATTTGACTTTTTTTCTATAAAAAATAGTGATATATATACTAGTTACCCCAACAACGTAACTTCTCTCATTGGAGATATATATATATATATATATATATATACACTATTGGTTTAATTTATTTAAGGGATTAGTTTCGGAGTCAATAAGTACTATATTTGAACTTGTTTGCAAAGGTAATTTTTGAATTTCCATTGACAATACACAAGAATTTACCAAGAGATTCAACGTTGATATATAACCCCAAACACTTTTTTTTTTAATTTCAATAATTTAATTTTCCAACAAACAAATTAAAGTCAATTGAACCTCTTATTTGTAGCTACCTAGCTCCTATATGGAATAGTGAGCAATTTATAGTTGAGACCTCTAATTCAATAAAGTCGTTTACTTAATATACATCGATAACAGTGCTTACCATGGCAGAAGCCACCTGATCACCACTTCAAACTAAACATTGATGGATCCTTTAAGCCTAAAACAGTCAAAGGTGGCACTGGAGGGTTGATAAGGAACCACTCAGTACAGTGGATTACGGAATTTGCATGTAAAACTAAAGTGGACAGTGCTTACCAAGCAAAATTATTGGCCCTACTACATGGCCTGACACTAGCAAAAACAAAAAATATAAAGAAAGTGCTGGTGGAAACCGACTCACAAGTACTTCTAAATTCCCTATACATTGACGATGCTTTGTGCTCAAACATACGTGTTGATTGCAGGTCATTGCTCCAGCAATTGGAAGGACCAACACTCCACCATCCTCCGAGGGAGGCTAATGGAGTCGTTGATGCTTTAGCTGAATACGGAAGAAAAACAAAGGATCCTACTATGATTGTAAACAAACTACATATTTTTGACGCATCTCCTTCGTTTGCTACTAACATTCTAGAACGAGAAGCTAATGGAATTGCTTCAGCTAGATCAGTTCCCTTTTGTATGGATAATTCTTTATAAATAAATAAAACCTTCCGTTTATTAAGCAAAAATATATATATATACATCAATAATGTATTTTTGATTTTTACACGATCAAGATAATATATATGACCTACACGAATAGGTATCTGTCTATAATAATCCTAGTTTGGTAATATAAAAAAGAGAAAATAGTCAAATGCCCCCTTAACCTATTAACCAATTCTCAACTACACACTTATACTTCACGGGGTCCTATTACCCTCCTGAATTTTTTATTTTCGATTTTTTGTGATTCTTAAACGTTGACCTGTCTAAGAAGGTGAATACACCTCTTGTAGGCGCGCAAGGGTTCAACAAAAAGACATAAAATGACTAAAATTGAATCAAATAGTCCATGTGGCAGTCTCTCACTGGAGATTATACAATTAATTCATTTTTTGTAATTCTTTCCTTGTTCTTATATCACAAAATTGTTATACCCATTTCATGATTTCTTCAAGTTTTTCTCAAAGTCCTTCAATGGTGGTCTTCTAAATTTCTTCTCTAGGAGATTCAAATCAGTTTGTAGCTACTGATTTTTGCTTAGTTAATCATACATTAACCGTTTTTAGCAATAACAATCACCTAAATCATAAGAAATTTTAATCTATGAAGCTCAAAAATGGAGTTCAAGTTTTTTCTTATACCCCTCATAATTTTCGCAAAAAAAAAAGAAGAAGTCAAACCACAATGAACCAACAATGGTGAATTTGAAATTTCACTTTCTAATTTCATTCTTATCAAATTTGTTTTTCACTCCCACATTTGTGAATACTTAATTTGTGGATTTTGTTTTTGGGTTTGATTTCAATTGAAAGTTTATGTAGACCAGCTATGGAATTGTTCCTCTTCTTTAATTTGGTGTAGAGATTTTTTCATCATTTTCTTTTATTATTCTCTAAAGAAATCATTAGTATTTTGAAAAAGCAATCTCTATTTGAAAACATTTCTTTTTAATTTTAATTTCCAGGTTTGATAAAAATGGAAACTTTACATAATTTTACAGGGTATTATTAAATTATTATTTTGATTAGGTTTATAATTTACAAGAAAAAAAATAAAAAAAATGAATGTAGAGTGATTCATCGCGTGTGCTACACAACTTTGAAAAAACTGGTTAGATATATGACTTTTTAGGGAGGTGATTATTTCATATTTAAATAGTTCAGGGGTAATAGCACCCCGTATAGAATAAGTATGTAGTTGAGAATTAGCTAATAGATTAAGGGGTTTTTTTGGCTATTTTCTAATTAAAAAATCTTGAATTACTGCTATAATTAATTAGTTTAATAATACACCAATAGTGCAAAAGAAAAATATTGTACTCGAGTGTATACAGGTTTAATCCATTATGATAAGTTTATACATTTAACAACTGTGAGATTGATGTACTAGAATTTGGTAAACTACTTGCAGAAATAAAAAAATGAACGAATAATTAGCTATATATTTTGAAGTCCTAAAGATAAATATTTTTCTATTTAGACGAAAATCTGAATTTGGATGTAGATTCTGCAAAGATCAGAATTAAGATAAGTAAATATAAAACGGCAAGTTGGCCATAAAATTGGCCAGCAAAGATTTAATTTCAAGTAGCCAAAGGATATATTATTTTTATGACCGTTAACATTCACTATTAAAAATCGCTATTTTTACACGAATAAATAAAAAAACTTCTTAATATTTCAGTCAGAATCTGTTCGCATAATGCATTTTTACATAAACTAGCCCTGCTGTAAAAATGGATGGAAAAAAAATGTTTTACAAACTAATTTTTCATTAATTCGCAATGAAAAACGCTATGTTTATAGTAGTGGAAGTCAAGGAGGCATATTATCTATGGACATTCAAGGGGGAGTGTTATAAAATAATATATTGTGGATGTCCATTACATCAAGAAGTTACTCCATTACTTTCCTCTATTATGAAGATAACCATAACCTCCAACTTTATAACCATTATTCTTGTAACCTTTCACTTCTATAACCTCCTCCATTATATTCATGTTAATGTCATGTTTATGACTAACCTTTTGTATGCCTCTAACTCTATGTTACACTAGAAATAGAGGCATAAGGGTTCATATTGTATATACTTGAAGATTTGGTAAACACTTAAAAGAAAGAAAGTTATCTGATATGACTAAGTCATATTAGTAGACAATAGTTAGTACCCTACCGCCGCCTCATCCACCATCCCTGGCAATATCAAACTGCTTTTGGATTTTTGCTTACAAAAAGAAAACTGTTATTCGATCTGCTTTTTTTTTTTGTAGACTTTCGGAATCAATTTTTCAAATATTTCACAACGAGCTGCAAGTGAAGGACCGATTCTTTTGCGCTAATGCTCCGAGAGCTTCTCGTATAATATGTAGAAAGGAATAATTATGCCTTCCGAGAGATTTGAAAATCTTACTTCAAAAACTTTTAACTTAAAAATGAACTAACTATATTTTCTTTTCGCAAAAGCAACTCATTTTTTTAAATAAAAAATTGAATTTTGTGCGTAATCTGTTTAATAAAACCCAACAATTAAGGAAAATATTTTTAAATAAAACTTTCTAAAACTAAAGGAGATCTAAATCGAGTTGTGCCCCTGGGCAGATATAAAATTAAATGTTAGGGTGTATCTTAATTAGAGAATTGTGCACACCTTCATCGCTCACTCGACTGGGGATTAATGAGGATTCGAATGTCGCTGTATCTCCCTCAAAATAAAAATAAATTCTTTTGGGGTCTCCATTTTTTTTTATTATGAAGAAAATAATAATAAAAATTATAAGATTCAATGTGGAGGTGGGGTCAAGATATGTCAAAATAGTAGGGGAGAAAGTGTAATATAATGGGATTGGGTGTCATCCACAAATCATAAAGTTAGATTTATTAAATTAAAAGAAATATAAAGGTATCATGTGGAGCTGATGTGTAAAATAAATTGAATAACTTGGCTGCTGCGTAGATGCCAACATGTATCAGATCACTCTCTGTCTCTTTTATTTCTTAATTCTCATTGACCAGACCCTACCCTAACCCTAACCCTACTTTCTTCTTTTACCTTTTTCTTATGCTGTTAATAATTTCTTCTTTTTCCCTATCCGTGTTTCATTGAAGTCCCAACTAAATTTGAGTTGCTCAAGGTAGAATCCATTCGGGGGTGACATAATCATAGGCAAATCCAGGATTTGAAGACTTCACATGCACCAATATTATCTCTAAGCAAAACTTAAAATAAAAACAATGAAAAAGGCTTTAGTTGGATTTAAAAACCTGGTCTTAGGGGTGACTTTTCTAGCTTGTACCAACAACACAATGACACTCTTATGCTTCTCATGGATGCACTGTGATCTATATTCTAGTTTCAAAGTTTGTGGGTGCAGTGCACCCCTACGAAAGGTGTGGGTCCGCCTCTGGTGACATCCCAACAACGTTTTCTTTATACTTAGGGCTCAAACCTTAAACCTCTAATTAAGGGTCAAATAGTCTCACCACTGCACCATAACTTATGTTGGTATTAATAATTCATTATTCTCATCCGTTCAATTTTATATTGTCAGTCACTTTCCTACATAAGTGTAACGTGCTGAACTGATTTTACAAATAACTAATTACTAATTTAGATAATGAAATGATAATAAATAATAGTATGCTTGATTAAAAAAAATTGAGACAATAATTAGTGATCTTTATGTTTCAATTCATGTGATTTGCATTTTTAAAATTTATCAAAAAGAACGAAATTTTTGTATAGTTTTTTAAAAAAAATTATGCGTAATGAAATGACTTATGGTACAAATATATATGATTTGGATATTATAAGAGTATATAGTAAAATCACTATTGTATAAATTAACAAGGTGGCCGGGGCATTTAAAGTTAAGTTGGGTTGATTTATAAGTAGTCCCACAGCTCAAAGATGCTTATATATATATATAGAAGAAATTAAAGGTAGAGATTCCTAGTTACCTTCTTTATATTGTATACTTTAGAACGTGCATACATATATATGATTTGTCTTTATAATTTAATAAAGTGGCCCAATAATATAATCACACGAGGCAATCCAGTCATACATACACAGATCCCACGGACCCATCAAAAAATTTCAGCTAGACCAAAAAGATAAAGAAGGCATTTTTGAAGTTGCAAAAAGTGAAAAGAGACCAATATATACTAATTTTTTAAGAGTTTAAGTTTTGTGCACCGTTGATATATATAATTTTTTATATCATCAGTTATTTTTAATTAAATTTAATCATAGTAACTTACTTTAATAAAATAATCATAATTCATGAAAAAAGAAAATCAATAATTTACTAAAAAAAAAAAAAAACATCAACAGGTAGTTGAATCATACTAGGATTCTAACCAAAATTATTTCCATAATTAAATTGTTTTTGGGACAGTATTTGTTTCCTTACTTATTAAGTATCATAAATAAGTAAAGAAAATTATGTACTTTCTATTAAAACTATTTCTTTTCTTAAAAAGATATTCTCTATCGTCCAAACACACACACCAACCAATTAATGGATTCTTTCTCATACTTTTTATTTTGTACCTTTTTTTTTCGCATAGATTTTGTCGGGCAATCGTGACAGTGGTGTTGTTAAAATATGCAGCATTATACTATATACTAATTAACTTTATAACTTTAGGTTTGTTCCAATTGGAAGTATTCCAATAGCTTTGGTGCGTATAATTAACATAAAAAACTGACTTAAATCTTTCTCTGTTATTCGTTATTTAATTAGAGATTCCAATAGTGAAACAAAAGCCCATATTATACACTTTGTGGCCACCTTTTTTACCTACTTTAGCCTAATTTGTTCTCTCCATCTGTTGGGTTATAACTGCAACCTTAAAAAGGAAGTATGGAGTATGGAGTATGGACTAACTTCTATTTGTGGTTCTCATAAAAAAATGGTGATATATATACTCTAGTTACAATTGAAGTTTCGATTGTCACCAAAAATGATATAGCTGAGTTCAATTTTTAGA